CTCCCGCGGCGGGTCCCTTTTGCTGCTGCTGCTGCTGCTGCTCCAGTTGCTGCTGCTGCTGCTGCAGGTGCTGTGTCTGCTCAGCACAGTACCTTGACGCTTCTCAAGCTCCGCCGCCTCAGCAGCTTTTCGCTGCAGCTCCCCCTTTAAACGAGCATTCTCCTGCAGCAGCAGCAGCAGCAGCAGCAAGTCAGGTCATTTACAGCAGCAGGAAATCCCAGCAGTATCATTAACAGCAGCAGCAGCGAGCCTGCACGCCGAAAACAACGCCTCAAAAACGAGCCCGCCCCGCTTTCCCTGCGGCTGCTGCAGCCCCGGCAACAGGTCAGCAGCAGCAGAAGCAGCGAAAGCAACAGCAGCAGCAGCAGCGGCAATAACAGCAGCAGCAGCAGCAGCAGCGCCAAGAGCTGCAGCAAACCTGAGCCAGCTGTTCGCCCTCAAGTGCAGCACTCGCATGCCGCCTATCAGCTTGTCGCAGTCTTTGCAGCTCCGCCTCCTGGCGCTGCAGCTGCAGCAGCAGCAGCAGCAGCAGCAGCAGCAAGCAGTAGCTAGGTTCATGCTCAAAGCAGCAGCACAAGCAGCCAACAGTGCACTGACTACAGACACACAAAACTCCCGCCGTACTAGCTCTTGCTGCTGCTGCTGCAGCTGCTGCATGCGTTTTATCTCCTCCTGTGACTCAGCCAGCTGCTCCTGCAGCTGCTTGCTGCTGCTGCTGCTGTCGCTGCTGCCGTCTGCTGCTGCTGCTGCCGCCGGCTGCAACAGGCGCTCGATCTGCTCGCTGGTTGCATGCAGTGCGCCAGCAAGCTTGACCTGAAAACAGCAGCAGCAACAGCAGCAGCAACAGCAGCAGCAACAGCAGCAGCACTCAGTTAATCGCTGCAGTCCAGGCTTCAACTATGGAGACAAATCTGTGCATTTAAATATGCGCATGCACTGCTGCTGCTGTTGCTGCTGCTGATTCCGATGCTGCAGCTTTTGCTGCTCTTGCTGCTGCTGATGCTGCTGCTGCACGCAACAAAGCCCATACCTGAAGAAGCTCGTTAGCTGCTTTCTCAGTTGACAGCGCCCGCTGGTGCTGCCGCTGCTGCTGCTGCTGCTGCAGCTCTGCGTCGGCTACCTGCAGCTTCAGCGCAGCCACCAGGTCCTTTTGGTGCTGCAGCAGCATTCTCACAACAAGCAGCCGCAGCAGCAGCTACACCGTCAGCAGCAACAGCAGCAGCAGCAGCAGCAACTCCCGTGGGGGCAAGCCTCCCGCCGGGGGCTGCAGCGAGCCAGGGGGTGCTGCAGCTCTGTGCGCAGCCTTACCGCAAGCTCTTGCTGCAGCTGCTGCTGCTGCTGCTGCATCTGCTGCAGCTCTGCTTCTGCTTGTCTGCTGGTGAACTGCAGCGCCTGGACAGAGTTGACCAGCAGCAGCAGCCAGCGGCGGAAGGCCTCTCTCGTGGGGGTTTCCTCCACTACAAATGCTGCAGCACCAACACCAAAAGTAGAAGCAGCAGCAGCAGCAGCAGCAGCACCACATGCTTGCAGCTGTTCACTTGGGTCCTTGCTCAGCAGCAGCTGAAGCACCAAAGGCAACGGCGCCAGCAGCATCAGCCGTGATGGCGACAGCAGCAGCAGCAGTAGCAGCAGCGACGGCAGCAGCGGCCAAAGCGTCAGCAGCAGCAGCAGCAGCAGCCGCAGCAGCAGCAGCAACAGCAGCAGCAGCAACGGCGGCAAGCAGCAAAAAGCCCCACAGGCTGCCAGCTTTCTCCACTGCATAACTTCTTTAAGAAGTTCCTGGCGCTGCATTTCTGCTTCCTTGAGGTCCCTCGTGCAGTCTAGCAGCTGCTGCTGCTGCTGCTGCTGCTGCTGCTGAAGCTGCTCTTGGTGCTGCAGCTGTTCTTGCCGCTTAGCTGCTTCCACGAGCTGCTGCTGCAGCTCTTCCTTCTCCTTTTGTAGCTTCTGCACAGAGCCACCATTAAGCGCAGCAGCAGCAGCAGCAGCAGCACAAGCGACGTCTAGGGTCTTCGCTCTTTTGGTATTTAGCTCAACTGGAGCAGCATCATCAGCAGCAGCAGCAGCAGTTACGACCCCGGGACACAAGCAGCAGCAGCAGCAGCACTAAGGAGCGTACAGCGTTGGCGCCCTGCAGCTGTTCGAGGCAGTTCCTTTCGTTTATGCCCTGCAGCAGCAGCAGCATCAGCAGCAGCAGCAGCAGCAGCAAATAATTAATTAATTAATTATGAGGTAAACATGTGGGAAGAATGCAAACATAAAAGTCGGTAAAGTGAACTGCAGCAAGAAAATGCAAAGCTAATTTGATTTAAATTTAAAAAACAAAATTTAAATTAAAAACAATTACTGCTTCTTTAATGCTGGAGACAGCCTGCAGTTTTGCTTCTGCTGCGCTCAGCTGCAGCGCCAGCGCCTCCCGCTCGAGCCGCGAGTCGTCAGCAGCCTGCAGCAGCAGCAGCAG